CGAGTCCGGCCGGCTCGGACTGCCACTGCCCGGCCGAGTTTGCGAAAGGTGAGCAGGCGGCGCAGGCGACTCGAACCGCCGCGGAGGCCGTCCGCGGAACGTGAAACTGGAACTGGGGCCAGTGGGTCCGAGAGTCGAGTGGCCGCCGAGTCGGGCCAACCGGCCTGTTTGGTACCAAAGTGGCTTTGTTGTCGACACTGCGAGTGTGTCAGGGCTTGGAGGACTTTCATTTCGTATGAAAGTGAATAAAGAACATGTTCAAAGGTCGATCTTGCCAGAAGACGACGGCTGATTGCTGCTGTACCTCAGCCATGCTTGGCTTTAGCACGACCTCCTGCTCCATTTCGCTAGAAAAGTGGCTAAGATTTCGTCCATCATTCAATGGACATCATCAGAGCTAGAACGCATTCTTGTAAACGTCTCATTTCAACACTCAGCGAAGAAGACTATCCGGCTCTATTCGACCTCTTGTATAGACTCTTAACTAAAAATGAAAATGTATAGACACAGAAAGATGGATATAGAATGGTCTGGCTAAGTATCTTTAATGTTGGTCATGTTTCTCTTTCTTACTCGAGTATGCGTGTGTATGTGCTGGCGTCCATTTGCAATTTCTGTCCTAAATCAGAGTCCAGCTCTGGTCAACATACTTTTACACAAAGTGAAAGTCTCTCCAACGGTGTTATTTCAGCAGATTCATCGAAACCCAGTCCCGCTTCGTAGAACCATTATTTAGCTTCTACAGCAGAGCAGAAATTGCTGTACGAGTTGCAGTCGTAGACACCGATTTTTTTGGCGGCAGATGAAGAAAAGTCGCAAATTGTTATGCAATTATCAGAAAATGCGCCTATCAAAAGTTGTATTGCATTACAGTCTCACAGACTCAGGCCATTCTCCGCCAAATATATATAATTGTTCAAGTATCATTAGGCATCACGAACTATAAATCGATATAACATCCAACCATCTATCTATACTATTGCCTCGTAATACATTTTTCCACAAATGCGAACTATCCTTATTACAAATATCTATTTTTCATCTCTATTTATATATTTCCCTATATATATA